AACTGCAGGGGCAGGGCATTTTTTAACGGGGCTCTTCCAGCCAAAGTCTTTAACTCCCACCAAACCACCAGACCATGGGTCTGGCCAGAAGTTAAGGGGAAGACAGTCATCCTGACGTGTATAAAAGGAGTCCTCCGACAAAGGGAGGAATCTCATTACCTGTAAGAGCCAGGAGTGGAGTGCATCCTCTGGACCTGAGATCCCCACACAGTGAACTTCTTCGATCCAGTGACAGCTATGCCATCAGAGAACCAGCAGCAGGACCAGGAGCCAAAGCATGGACCAGAGTGACGGACTTCTCAGCCCAAAGAGCAAGTGAACCCGAGTGCTTTTGTGCAGGAGGCTGGCTTGCGGAGTGGCGAGCCTCTGGACACTTCGTTGAGGAAGTTAGGCTTACTGACCAACAGAGCTCGAGCTGAATGCCTTTGGGTTGAGCTTTTAGCCGAGTGGTATGCTCCCTTCGGGGCATTTATTAGCAGACTTTGTAAGAACTAAAAGAACTTTGTAATCTAGCGTGATAAACAACCACCCTGAGCATTTCTCACTGGCATTACCACTTGTTAACTTCCTTGATAAACCCTTTAATCATGAATTTTGTCTGTGAGTTTCTGTGTAGCCATTGCAATGGATATTGGAACCCAACCCAGAACCCCCCTGGGGGAGTTTGGCTCTGACCTATAGGGTCTTGATCGGCGGGAATCCACTTGATAGCCAGGGATAATCTCTATGGGAACTGCCAGGTGGATTCAGACCTCCAAGCTTGCAGGGAGCGGCCTCGCACTTCACTGCTGCACCCACGGCTCCTGCTACTACGATTCACCACTTCTCGGAAGCAGAGCCCTGACTGAGAGACCCGGATCATGCTCTCAGTGTGCACAGAGACAAAGAACATCACAATGACCAATCTGTGTCGGTTCACGTCTTAGTCTTTTTTCACCAAATGTGTGACTACAGCTATATGGCTAAGTTTTTTCATGTCCAGTATGGGTACTCAACAAATGTCCATCCGCCCCTGGGACACGACAGAACAGAGAATCACCCCCATTCTATCACCCTGGGCAGTGAAGCTTACAAGAGTTTCCCTGGCCTACCACAAGCCAAGAGCCACTGCCTCCTTGAGGCACTATGCTAAGAAATGGACAGAGATAATCTGATTTAATGTCACCTAACAGTCTAGGACATGGGTACTACAGGCCGGCCCCTCGTCCCCACGGAAAGCTGCTCCTGTGTCTTTAAGAATCTGAAAGCAATTCAGGACAAGCACAGCAGGCTCATCTTCAGCCTTCCTTGAGAGAAAGGAAAGGCTCCCAGCCTTTTCACCAATGACAGGTGACGGATGAAGAATTTGCTGCAACTCGGGGCTGGTTCAGTCATTTCAAAGGCATGGGGAATTTACATAAGATAAAGGAGGCCGGGGGTGTGGTGGTTATGAGTTGGGCTGTTAACCTCCTGGTCAGCAGGTTGGAACCACTCGCTGCTCCCCAGAAGAAAGAGGAGGCTCTCTATGCCCATAAAGAGTTACAGTTTCAGAAATCTGCAGGGGCTGTTCTAACCCGCCCTACTGGGTCACTATGGGTTGGCATCGACTCCATGGCAGTCAGTTTGGCTTAGTTAAAGGGCAAGCAGGAGCTGTCTGTAGGTTGGAGGTGCTTAGCCTACATGATTATTCTGCTTTTAGAGATGAGGAAGCTGAGGCTCTGAGAAGTGGGACAACTGGTTAACCAGCAGCCGGCGGGCTGAGCAGTGGCATCTGGCTCTGAAGCCTGGGCACACTCCCTGCAGGGCTGGGTCAGGACTCGAACCCAGCATACTTAAGGCCCTCCTGGATAAAATGTCAGCTGTTTCATGGGGCATGGCCTTGACTCTCTGCCCTGGCTGTTGTCTGCATGAGCAGGGAGCCCCTCATGCCCATGACGAATAAACATATTTCAAGTAATAAATTCAAAACACGAGGAAAAAAAAAAGAAGTGTCTCGGGTCTGGATACTTGCACACTTCCTGCTGAGCTGACCTCCACCATCTGTGTTAAAAGCTTCTGGCTTCCCTCTCCTGACAAGGACCAGCCTCCTCTCCTCCAGGGGCACCTCCTGGTTCCCACCACTTGCCTTTCACACATTACTCACAGGGCAGGTAGACATGGGTGGCCCAGTTGCCCCTCTCGTGGGGGAAGGTGCGTACCCGGCCGCCATGCTTTGTGCTGTCGTCCTCAGGCCCCTCCTCGGTGCTGGGGAACATGCTCAGCACACTGTCAGGCACCGGCAGCCTCTGGCTAGGAGGGGCGGTCTGGCCACTGCAAATGAACAAAGAAAAATAAGTACATCTATCCACCTGACAGTGTCGACCTCTGTACACACAACAAAAGTTATAGCTGCACACACCTGCTGTCTCTAAGCATCTAGCTACTTGAAGTCCAAGGAGCCCTGATCACCATGAGCATGCGCTTCGCTGCTAACTAAAGAGTTGGCAGTTCAAATCTACCAAGCGCACAGTGGGAGAGTGGTGTGGCTACCTGCTTCCATAAGGTTGATTCTGACTCATCATGACCCTGTAGGACAGAGCAGAACTGCCCCTGTGGGTTTCCGAGACTGTAACTCTTCACAGGAGTAGAAAGCCTCGTTTCACTCACATGGAACAGCTGGTGGGTTCGAACCCTTGACCTTTCAGTTAGCAGCCCAACTAGTAAGCAACTACGTCACCATGGTTCCACCCATATAGGTATAGTCCTGGAAACCCTATGGAGCAGTTCTACGTTGTCCTAGAGCATCGCTGTGAGTCAGAAGTGATTTCGCAGCAATGGGCTTTGGGGTTTTGCTCGATGAAGTTTCTGGTTATTGTTGGGTGTGGACTCTACTCAACAGTTCTACTCTCAGTGATCCTATGTGACAGGGAACTGCTCTACTGGGTTTCCAGGCCGTAACCTTTACAAGTATGGCCAGAGTGCTCCTTAGAGGCAAAGATGGCAAGACTTTTGTCTTATACACTTTGGACATGTTGTCAAGAGAGACCAGTCCCTGGAGAAGGGCATCATGCTTGGTAAAGTGGAGGGACAGCATAAAAGAGGAAGACCCTGGACAAGATGGATTGACACAGTGGCTGCAGCAATGGGCTCTGGCAAAGGAACAATTGTGAGGATGGGGCAAGACCAGGCGGTAGGACCGGGTGGTGTTTTGTGCTGTTATGCATAGGTTGGAACTCAATGGCACCTAACAACAACAACAACAACAATAATCTTTACAAAGGCAGGTCACTGGGCCTTCTGCAGAGGAGGGCCATTGGAGGGACAGGCCTTTTGATCAGCAGCCAGTCACATTCACTGTTACTCCCTGAGGGTTCCAGAAGCAGTTTCTGGAGGCCCACAAAGCTCTTTCCCAGCAGTCTCCCAGAGAAGCTCTGATGGCATCGTGGATTACACAGGCAGTTGATAACTGCAAGGTCAGCAGTTCAAATCCACCGACTGATCTGAGGGTGAAAGATGAGGCTTTCTGTTCCTGTAAAGATTTATATTCCTCCTCTACTGTGTTCTATTGGGTCACGACGAGGCAGATGGCAGCCAGTTTCTTTTTTTGAAGGGGGTGGGGGTGGGGAACTCATGGTTCTAGGAGGCTGCCCTCAGCAGGTTGAGTAGACAGTCTCTACAGGAAACAGCATGTGGGAGGCCTGGTTCAGAGGTTGGGTTCCTTAGCTAAACACCACCTCGCGGCTCTGTGGCCTTGAGCAATCCTGCCACACCTCGACCCCCCATTTTTGGGAGAATTCACATTTATTAAATAATTGATGGGTTAAAATCTGGAGTTTAGGTATTTCAAATAAAGCTCACATGTTGAACATTTGCCCTGTTCCTTTTTAGCACGAAGAGGCTTGACCATTGATGGGTGACAATCCTTACTGACACTTTAATAACCAGTCCTCTGCTGTCTGTCAGGTTCTTAGGAGACACCCTACTGTCCTCCCCTCAGTACAATCTGGGCAAACCGATTGGGGTATGGCAAGGGTGGTATCAATGAAGCAGTCTACATAGCTAGAAGGGCAATTTTCAGCGCGAGAGTCTAAGTGATTTCCTGGCTTCTGCACACACTCATCCCAACATAGCTCCATGAAACGACACCCCAGCGCGGTTAATTGCCCCTTTGGTTGTTCAGCTTCCACAAGGCGCTGCAATTCTGCTTCATTGGCCGACCTGCCAACAAGTTTCGGCCTCTTCCGACAGTCCCCTGCCCCTTCTAGACCTCAGTTTCCTCATCTGTCAAATGCTCTCCTCCCTGATGGAACATCAACAGAGATGCTGCACTTAAGGCCCCCCGCACATAACACTTGAATCGCCATGAAGTCAGTAACCCAGATGAACGCCAGGGTCCTGGGCCTGGCACAGCGCAGGTGCTCAATAAATAAATAACGCCCCATGAGCTTCACTGCTAGGATTGCGACTATGTTCAAATGAGCCAACTGCCTAGGAAAGTGAAGGGACGCCAGCTGGGCGACAGGGTGGCCACGAACGGGCGTTTCCTGCTTCCCAAACTCAAGTGTGGCCAACAGGTGAGGGCCCTCTGGGGCCTCATAGAGGTGGACTCCTTCTAGAATCCAGATCCTTCTCCCCATCTCCCCCAATCCCCTTTCCAGGAGGGCCGTCCGTCTCCTACTCCCTCCCCGCTCGCGCTCCAGCCCAGTTCGGGTCCAGAGCTCCTCGGCACCTTCCCCAGTACGGCTTCCTCGGTCCTTACCGACGGCGGCTTTCGGCTCCGGGTCTGGCCGGGACCCCGACCCCATCCTCGGCCTCATCCTCGGAGTCACTGCTGCTGTAGCCCACAAGGGGCGTCGCACTCATGGAGGCTCGGCGAGCCGCCAAGGTCCGTCACCGGTGCGCTGGCCCCACGCTCCCGTTCCGCTGCGCCGGAAGTGCCCTCGCGAAGGCGTGGCCTGAGGTAGCACCTCCCCGGGGCGGGGCCTGGAGGGCAGGCTGCGGCTGAGAGGGCGGGGCCTCGACCGACTAGTACAGACCCTCCTGAGAGCACGCCACCTACCTGCTGGCTTCACCTAGAGTTCCTCCCGGAGCTTTCGTCACTCCCCAACCCTCGCGTGCCCATTTCACGGCTCGCTCGGAGCCCTGCCCTCACTGTCCACTGCCCTGTCTGCAGCTCGCCGGGACCAGACCTCTCAACCACGGACAGTCTCTGGATTGGCGCACTAGCCGGGGCGGAGATCCCTGTCCTCGGCGCTCGGCCTCAATCAGAGGTCCCCCCTTGGTCCGTGTCCCGGGGTTCCCTTCCCTAGGGGTGATGCTGTGCGGTCAGAGGCGGGGCTATTTCTGAAGTCCTGAGGGTCCAGGAGGCCCCTCCCCTCAAGTACAGCAAGGGGGCAAGGGCCAGACCACGCGAGCGCCCTCCCCGAAGATCGAGCGGCGCGGTCGGAAGTGAGCGTCTCCTTCGGTCGGCTGAGACCCGTCTACCCGGCCGACTCGGGAGGGGCCCGCACGCGCAGCGAGTCCGCCCTGCCGGACCGCGGGGTCCCCGGCAGGGGGCGGCC